TCTCTAAGGTTCATCCCAACCCCTGAACACACTATACATCTGTGACACCATGGAGAAGCAGCAGCTCTGTCCCTGTTAGCTTCTGCCCCTTGGGCTGCTCAGAGCTCCCTGAGGTCTGCAGCACCCCTGAAGGTCCACCCAGGGGTGCAGGTCCTGCCCTGAGTGAACTCGCTGGATTCTCTTCCAGCTGCCATCATGGAGCGTAATGGCAACGCCTTGGCCAACAGCGCCCGACGCCTGGAGGTCGTCAGGAACTGCATCTCCTACGTCTTCGAGAACAAGATGTTGGAAGCCAAAAAGGTGAGGAGGGTCCTGGGGTTGAGGGGAGGAGAGTGTGGGGTCACCATCCTCCTTGGCAGGATGGAGAGGACATTCCCTATCTGTGTCCAGATGGAATCAGAGAGTCACTGAGGTTGGAAAAGGCCTTGGAGACTATGGAGTCCAACCCTTCCCAGCAGTGCCAAGGCCACCACTGACCATGTCCCCACGTGCCACATCCACATGGCTGTTAAATCCCCCCCAGGGATGTGATTGCTGCCAGAGGGGATTGCCCCAGTTGCCAGCCTGAGCCTCCCCTGGCACTGCTTGGGGTGTTTCCCCTTGTCCTGTCCCTGTTCCCTGGGAGAAGAGCCTGACCTCCCCCTCACCAACAGAATCATGGAGTCCCTAAGGCTGGAAAATCCCTCTGAGCCCATCACCTCCAACCCTTCTCCAGCACTGCCAAGGCCACCACTAACCCGTGGCATGTCCCTTCTCTGCACTGTTCCTCCTTGTCTTCCTGACGACTGCACACCACCTCAACACCCTTTGTGCATCTCCTGCTGCCTCTGGGCACCCTCGGGGTCCTCCCACTCCTTACCAAGTAGGGTGTTCCCATGGCTGTGCTCCAGCCACCCAGACATGGGGTTTGCTCTGTGTCCGAGTGCATCCAGGCTGTGAACACCCTGGTGTCAGCCCATCATCACCTCCTCCTCCTCCTGAGCTGCTCTTGACCTCCACCCATGGGGTTTTGCTCTGGTTTGCTCCATGTCTGAGACATCCAGGCTGTGAACACCCTGGTGTCAGCCTACCATCACCTACTCCTCCTCCTGAGCTCCTCTTGACCTCTGTGCCCATCCTGAGCTGCTCTTGACCTCGTGAGCTCCACCCGTGGGGTTTTGGTCTGGTTTGCTCTGTGTCTGTGAACCTTGTCGGCCCCTCCTCCCCCCCTGGGCCGCTCTGGGCTGTGTTGCCCCGTGCTGCCCGTGCTGCCCTGTCCCGCAGCTGTTCCCGGCGGTGCTGCGCGCCATGAAGGGTCGCGCCGCGCGGCAGTGCCTGACGCAGGAGCTGCACCTGCACGTGCAGCAGAACCGAGCCGTGCTGGACCACCAGCAGTTTGATTTCGTCATCCGCATGATGAACTGCTGCCTCCAGGTGGGACAGGCTGCGGGAGCTCGGGGCAGGGAGCTGGGAGCAGGGATGGGGTCCTGGGCCCTGTGTCACTTCCACATCCTTCAGGCCTGGGAGGGATCTGATTGCTTGGGGGAGGGAGCAGGACTGGGATGGAGTCCCTGTCCTTGTGTCATCTCTGTGTCCTCCTCCAGGACTGCACGGCCATGGATGAGCATGGAATCGCTGCTGCTCTCCTGCCGCTGGTCACTGCCTTCTGCAGGGTGAGTATCCATGGTGTCCTGTGAGCCCTCAGGATCCTGGGGGTGCAGAGCTGCAGGTGGAAGGGCTGAGAGTCACCGGGTTGTCCCCACAGAGTCAGTTAGGTTGGAAGGGACCCCAGCAGGTCATCTGGCCCAACCGCCCCACTCAAGCAGGGCCATCCCAGAGCACATGGCTCAGGACCACATCTCATGGACTCGTGGAATGGTTTGGGTTGGAAGGAACCTTCAGGGTCATCCAGTGCCACCCCCTGTCATTGGCAGAGATGTCTTTCACTAGCCCTGAGTGGATTCTGAGTACAGCTCCTGCCCAGAACCTTCTAGTCCCTCACAGACTGACCAGGCTGGTGCACCTGAGCCTTGAGGCTCCTAGGATGGCTAGAACACCTCCAGGAAGGTTGCATGGAATGTCAGCTTGATCCACCAGTCAGGCTGGGCTGGGCTGGGCTTCTCCCTCCTGTGAAACAATGGCATAAGGCTCTGTGGGCTCTGGGCAAGAGAAGAGCTTTCAAGTAACCTTGGAGGAGCTCTGATGCAGATGTCTCTCCGCCTTCTGCTCCCACAGAAGCTGAGCCCTGGCATCACACAGTTTGCCTACAGCTGTGTGCAGGAGCACGTGGTGTGGACAAACATCCAGTTCTGGGAGGCAATGTTCTACTGTGATGTGCAGAACCACATCAGGGCCCTGTACCTGGACAGCAGCGAGGAGAACCACACGGAGGAGGTGAGGAGATGGTGATGGTGTCCTGGGTGAGGCACTGCACAGAGCAGCTCTGCCTAAAAGTCTGTGAGCATAGAATCATGAAATGGCTTGGGTTGGAAAGGACCTTCAAGGTCATCCAGTGCCAGCCCTGCCTAGGTAGGGACACCTCCCACCAGCCCAGGCTGCTCCAGCCCCATCCAGCCTGGCCTGGAACACTCCCAGGGATGGAGCAGCCACAGCTGCTCTGGGCACCCTGTGCCAGTTCTGGCAACCTGTTGAGATGGGTCAGTCCATGCAGATGACCAACATATCCAACCCATCAGGAGAGCACGGAGGAGCCGCAGGAAGCCAGGTCAGCACTGGAGATCGCGTCAGAGCAGCTGCGGCTCTGGCCCACCATGAGCCGCGAGAAGCAGCAGGAGCTGATCCAGAAGGAGGAGAGCACTGTGTTCAGCCAGGCCATCCATTATGCCAACCGCATGAGCTACCTCCTGCTGCCCCTGGACACCAGCAAGAACCGCCTGCTGCGCAGCTCCGGCCTGGGCGACATGGAGAGCGTCAGCAACAGCTTCGTCACGAACAGGTGTGCAGCTCTGAGGGGCTTGGTGGGGACACGTGGGGATGCCAGAGTCAACTGGAGCTCCCAGGGCTTCCAGGGCATCCAGATGCTGTCATGGCATGGAAGGTGTCTCTGCTCCTTGTGGAGGGACTGGAGTAGAGGGACTTGAAAGGTCCATTCCAACCACAGCCGCGCTGTGGTTCCAGGGTTGTGGCAGGATGTGTAGGCTGTGGTGCCCAGGGCGTTGCCTGGGCGTGGAAGCTCTGTTGACTCTGTGTCAGGGGTGGGAGGTTGTCCCAGGGTGGCTGTGTGACCCCTGTCCCTGGCAGCATCGCTGGCAGCGTGGCTGAGAGCTACGACACCGAGAGCGGCTTCGAGGACGCCGAGAGCTCCGACGTGGCCAACTACGTTGTCAGGTTCATCAACCGCTTTGTGGACAAGGTCTGCACCGAGAGCGGTGTCACCAATGAGCACCTCAAGGGGCTGCATGTCATGATCCCTGGTAAGCACCTGGGGCAGCTCACCAGGACCCCTCTGGGTCCTGCAGGATCATAGTCATCAGGGTTGGAGGAGACCTCCAAGGTCATCAAGTCCCGCCATTAATTTGTTGCTGCTGTAACCCCTAAACCCTAAACCAGATCCTCCAGACACCTCTTAAACACTTCCAGGAATGGTGACTCCACTATCTCCCTGGGCAAACCATGAGCAGATGGAGGGGTTGGAGACATCTCCAAACATCCTTGGCATGGACACTGTCCCATAGAACCATCAGGGCTGGAGGAGATCTCTAAGATCATCAAGTCCAACCGTTAACCTATCACTGCTATAACCCCTAAACCTTCCAGCACCAGGTCCAGATGCCTCTTAAACACCTCCAGAGATGGTGACTCCACCACCTCCCTGAGCACTTCCCTATTCCATGCCTGACCACCCCCACAATGAAGAAGCTTTCCTTATCTAGGGGGGCAGTGTGAGGGCCAGGAGAAGACACAGGGTGTGGGTGGACAGGGAGGACTCTGCTCATCCTCTCCCGCTGTGTGTCACAGACATTGTGCAGATGCACATTGAGACCCTGGACGCTGTCCACAGGGAGAGCAAGAGACTTCCTCCCATCCAGAAGGTAAGGAGCTGCCTGCTGGAGCCATGGGGGCCACCAAGGCCCTTCCCATGCTCCACACCAGCCTGAGCTCCTCACTGTTCCCCTCCAGCCCAAGCTGCTGCGCCCCAACCTGCTGGTGGGTGAGGAGTGTGTGATGGAGGGGCTGCGCGTGTACCTCATGCCCGACGGACGGGAGGAAGGTGCTGGGGGGAGCATTGGGGGTCCTCCTCTCCTCCCTGCAGAAGGAGCAATCTTCCTCACCACCTACCGCATCATCTTCAAGGGAACCCCCACGGACCCGCTGGGTGAGGAGGGCTGGTGGTCCCTGGGGAGGAGAAGGATGGTTGGGGATCCATAGGAAGGAGGATGGTTGAGAATCCCTGGGGAGGAGGAGGAGGATGGTTGCTGGTCCCTGGGGAGGAGATGGTTGGTGGTCCCTGGTGGGGAGGAGGAGATGGTTAGTGGTCCCTGGGGAGGAGGAGATGGTTGGTGATGTGTTTGACCTTTCCCATCCTGTGCCCAGTGGGGGAGCAGGTGGTGATCCGCTCCTTTCCCATCGCCTCGCTGACCAAAGAGAAGAAGATCAGCATCCAGGCCCAGGTGGATCAGTTCATCCAGGAGGGCTTGCAGCTGCGCTCCTGCACATTCCAGGTGGGAATTGGCTCAGGGTCCCTTTCCAGGTGCTCCAGAGGCTGCTGGAGGCCCGAGAGTCACACAATCCCATAATCCCTGAGGTTGGTAACACCCTCCAAGGTCATCCAGTCCACCCTGTGACCCATCTTCACCTTCTCAGCTAGCCCAGAGCACTGAAAGCCATGTCCAGTCCTTCCCTGGACACCTCCAGGGGTGGTGACTCCACCACCTCCCTGGGCAGCACATTTCAAGGAGGTGTGAGGTGTCCTCACACAGGTCCCTTGAAGGTGGATATGCAAAACCTTGTGCAGGTCTTGAGGGAGAGGAACACAACAGGAAGAGATGTCACAACTTGGGGAGTTACTGGGCATTTTACACGCGTGGGAGAGGTGTGGAGATGGAGCAGTGCTGGGGGAGAAATGCCAGCCATGCCATGGCCAGAGCTGTGGTGGCAAGGCGTGGCACAACCAGGAGCAGCAGATACAGAGGAAGGGGAATGGGATAGAGTAGACAGCACTGGGGGACAGTGTCCTCCAGCCTGGCCTGTGCCCATGTGCCCCTGCTGGATTCAAGCTCTGCCCTGAGCCATGGGAAGGGCTTGTGGATGCCCCTGCCCATGCCCTGGTCCCTCATGCTGCCCTGTGCCACCCCCAGCTGCTGAAGATTGCCTTTGATGAGGAGGTGGCCTCAGACAGTGCGGAGATCTTCCGGAAGCACCTGCACAAGCTGCGCTACCCCCAGCACGTGCGTGGCACCTTCGCCTTCACCGTGGGCCAGTCCCCCAAGCAGGTCATGCAGCCCAAGGCCAAGGAGAAGAACCCCTCACTCAGGTACCTGTGCTGTGGGGGAACCACACCTGGGATGTGTCTGGTCCTTTGGGGCACCTCAGGGCTTCTCATGTTCCTCCAGCCCACCTTGAGGAGACACTGCGTGGGGGTCAGCTGGGGAAGATGGGACACAGGGTCCTGAGGTGGATGTGGGTCCCTGAGGCCACCTGGCTCAGAACTGTCCTCCTGCAGGATCTCCACTGGTTGGAGATGAGAATCCTTTGGGTTGGGAAGGCCCTCTGAGATGAAGTCAAACCCTTCCCAACACTGCCAAGGCCACCACTGATCATGTCCCCAAGTACCGTATCCACATAACTGTTAAATCCTTCCAGGGCTGTGGCTTCTCTCTTCCCTGGGCAACTGTGCCAGGGCTGGACAACCTTTCCAGGAGGAATTGTCCCAATAGCCAACCTGAACCTCCCCTGGTGGCTCGGGGACACAGTGCTGCAGTGCTGGGTGA